CAGATATTTTAAAGAGACAGAAATGTATACACCATATCTGAAGATTGATCAATCTAGTCAACTAATTGAAAGGTCCCTTAATTCTATTTTTGAGACACTTGAGTCTGAATGCAAACACACACACACACACACACACACACACACACACACACACACATTCATGTTTTATGTAATTGCTAAGGAAAAGCACTTTTGTTTTTGCAAAATCCTATTTAGGATAATATTTTAAGAGTATCTTGTCTCCTCTCCCAGGTCTGGAGTGACCGTGGGGATGTTTCCATAAATGAAATTAAATTTCTTAACATATTGGGAAAATGCATCTTTAAATTCCCACTCCAACCCCCTTCCTCTAGGCTGGTGCGCATTGTGACTGCTTTATAAATCTGTGTTCTGCTTCTATGGTTTGATGTCTGACCATCTGCTCCATGAATGCTAGAGGATATTTTGAAGCAACACCTTTTGCACCCAGCAAAGCTTTCCATCTCTCTGCCCTTCCTTTGTGTCACTCAGATTTATCACTTGGACACAAGATACTTTCTTCCAGCAAATATAAGGAAATAGAGTCAGCCAATTATTAATAGAAAAACGATTATCTGTATGATGAAAAAGGAAAATGAAATAAGAGATTCATCTAAAGTGAAAAAGATACTTCTTACTACATCCGATGAGTTCAACTTTTAGTGTAGAATACATTTTACCATGGGGTTAAATTTCAGCATAAAGGTTTTAGTTTAGATCAAAGAGTTTGTTTTCAAGGTATGGATGTCACTAGACATAATGATGGCTACCAAAGATTTATGGAATAGCTCTGACTCTGTTTAAATATGGGGCTGCTGATGGATACAGAGGAATGGCAATGGCCCAACACCTGAATTTATTTATGGTTTGAATACTTTGCAAGTCCCTAACAAACGGACTTGTAGAACTTTTTTTTTTTTTGAGATGGAGAGTTAATTTGTAATTTAGAAAACTCTGCATGTCATAAATAACTAAACAAGATTAGCTTGACTTCACTTTAACTGAGAAAAATAAATCCATAAATCACTTTTAGAATGAAGCAAGGACATGATTCAACTCCCTAAAGGCTGGTAACTGCCAGAATAGACTTTTACCTTTTGGGTAGGCTTAATTCATTTGAAGATAGAATGCTGTGATTTATATGACAATTGAAGGGTTGTTGTAGTCAAGTGCCTTATGACTTTCTTTGTAGCATGGTAACCTGACGAGAGTATTTTTAGTTATTGAATTCCTTATTGTATTTATTTTTCACTGATTCATTATTTTTGTTTAAAGGCTGTTGTTAACTTTCTGAAGATGCAATCATCCGTTTTAATTCCTTCTGCTACCTCTCAGTCTCTGGGTCTTTTATAGGGGCCTTCACTACCCTGAGGTCAGGCTCCTGGTAATCTCAGTTTATTTGAAAAATATCTGTGAAGCCAAAGAACAACAATAGCAATGGAAAAGGAGGCCATTTTGATAGTAACTTTTATTGTCTGTACTCTATTTCACAGGGGAAGTAATCTTTCCTCTGGTCTCATCTAGGCAACTGACATAAGATTAAGATACAGATTATAACAAGAAGAATATAGTAGTAAGAAGTGGTTTTCAGATGTCTTCTAGAAGTGGCACTTCACATGCACATGATCATCTAATTATAACACATAAACACCCTTAGTGTATTATTCTTGCCAAGTACATCAGGATGTTTTTGGTTGTAATTAATAGAAAAATACAACTTAAAATGGTTTAAACCTTTGGTTGTCACCCTTGGTTGCACATTGGAATTACCTGAGGAGTTTTAAAGCATAATGGAAACTGGATTTCATCCCCAGGAATCATAATTTAATAGGAT